CAATACATTGGTCATTCTCATTTACACCTGAAAAAATAGCCAAAAAACACAATTTTTGTAACTGGGCGGGGCTACCCGACACATTTTGAAAAGAGCTGAAAAACATGTTTTTTTAAATTTCTATTTTTTTAAGTTTAACTATTCTTTTTTTGGTTTATTCTTTTTGCATTATTTAATTAGATGATAAAACAATAGAAACATACAAAAATGTTGATTATTACTTAGTATTATACAGAAATCTAAGCAATACTCCTTAAGTGAGCGGGGCTACCTGACTCTCCCCTATATATGTAACATAAAAAGCTTCTATTAATCTTTTTATGTTAGTTCTTTGCTATAAAACAACTCCTACTTTATTACTAATTGATTATTCAAATCGAAATACTTTCTCACACTTTTAAAAGCTACATCCTGTTTTTAAATCTATTTTTGGCCCAACTATGCATAAATTTAAATAAAGATCTTTTTTCCCTTTTAAGCCGTGGGAATCACCCGAGCAAGCTCATTAACCAATAGTAACTTCTAAGATTTCCCTTTATTCTCTAAATAGAGACATTTTCGGATTATTTGCAAGATTTTCCCTACCAGAAAGACTGATCCTGAATGGAGTTAACATCACTTTTCGCTGGTCTTCCATAAGAACATGATCTAAATAAAATACGTCTGATTTCATTAAAATCCTGTGTCTATTTCCCTGCTCGGTCCGACTGCATCATTTTACAAGCCGAGCAGGATTATAAGAACTGATGAAACGGGCGCAGGATAATATTAAATGCTTCTTCAAAACAGAAAGAAAAAAAAATTAACTGAAAGAACACACTTCTATTATGTTGGAAGATTTGAGCCTATTAACGAACGGATTGCAAGTGGACTTCTCAGCGAAATGTCATAACTTCAAACTAGAAGAGAATGCTGAGCAGTTTATTGTTAATGCTGCGAAATTGATTGGATTTGGATGAACCTTGACCCTGGCTGGCGACACTTTCTCGTTCCACCCAGAAATCGAAAGCATAATCTGCCACAATTTCTCTATCACTTTCGGCGTTAGTCTGTGACTCATCTTAACGAAGAAAATTGGTTTAGTCCCCTTTTAACTAACTGTCGTGTTTACTCTTGGAATGGAGCGACTGTGGAGAAAACATTAAGAAAAAAAAAAGATGTTTCGTTTGTTTCACCTTTTCGAGAATTCCATGCCTCTAAAGACCTGTTCCATATTTTTGATTTCATGCCTATTTCAAAGTGACAGCGATTCTACATTTCCAGAAGTCCATCTTGGTGGCACTTAATGTTGGCCAAAGCAAGCTGTGTTCAGTGTGTGAACTTAAGTGGATCGTGCTTATTAGTGAAATCTTGTGAACAAAAGTGGATGAGTGCTATGAGAATCTTCTTTGGGGGGATTAATATTTTACACATTTTATACCAATTATACTTATTTGGCAAATCGTGCTCTGATATTTTTTAATAGTATTCTCCAGGTGAAATTTTTAAACGTGAATGCTTTCTAATCATTTACGCTCATATCTCGAAATTTGAACAAATAAATTTATGGCTATTGATATTTATATTTTGATAATATTTCCATTTATTGATATTATTATTCAATGGTTTACCATATTATTTGTTTAAATTAAATAATATTAAAATTTAGTGTTACCATTATGTATTTTTTTTTCACTTTTGATTCAGTATGATTATAATTTTAATTATTTAAGGAATCACTTTTTTTATTGCATTATATATCACAGTGTATATTATATTAATTGTAGAAGAGAAATTTAAATTTTTATTTTATTATGGTGTTTAAAAAAGCAAAATATGTGCTAGTCATATATTTAAATTTATTTTTCTTCCTTCTAAATGTTGTATTTAATTATTGAAATTTGGTTATTTGTATATATATATATATACTTTCCAATGAGGCGAACCGGGTTCGATTCCCAGTCGATACCAATTCCGAATTCGGCTTGCACCGACCACAGTGCTGACGTGAAATATCCTCAGTGGTAGACGGATCATGGGCAAGAATCCCCTTCTCGTCAGGCTAACCGTAGGAGGTTCTCGTGGTCTTCCTCTCCATGTATTACAAATGTGGGTTAGTTCCATCGAAAAGTCCTCCACGAAGGCAAATGTCTCCCAATACGCGATTCAGGAGTTCCCTTGTTTTCTTGATTGGGTTCATAATTACAATGCTACGAAGTTGAACTTTAGTAATCGCAAACCCATAAAATTNAGTAAACATCCAAAAAATAGAAAGAAAGAATGTCCAAAAAGTTCAAATGATTCGAAGATAGATCTAGGTAATGGATGCGTTCATTATCAGGTTAATATCGACGAAAAATATGTAAGGGGTAACAATAACAAACACAAAAAATAAAAGAAAAAATAGGAAAAAGAAAGAATGACCTAGAAACTGATTACAAAAACAAAAACAAAAAATGGAAGGAAAAATAGGAAAAAAGAAAGAATGACCAAGAAACTGATTACAAAAACAAAAAGAAATTTAAGTAAACAAAATTTTGAAAAAGTACATGTATCAAAGCTTAGGAAATATCATAACCCACAAACGTTGAAATTAAATCATGAATAGAGTCAAAAGGAAAAGAAATTTTTTTTACTTTCTTCAATGGAAGAAGCAAACCTTATATTTTTGAGAGATCCGAATCACGTGTGGAAATGTTTACCTTTACATCATTTTGATGTGAGGGCGATGTAAGTTGAACCTTTTTTTTTCTCAATAAGGTGAGAAAATTTTTTATAAACTATTCTTATATTGTCCAAACTGGATCTCTCATTTTCCCTCTGCTTCATGAAATTCTGTTTTCCTCCATTTTAACGGGGAATACAGATTTTCATAAAGTAAATAACCCCTTTTAACCACACAGAATCTTAAATTCTTAATAAATGACACTTGTTGTCCAGTTCGTTTGCATAAAAGTTTTGTATATTTTTGTGTGAAAAAATGTTTTAGAAAATTTTAGTAGAATAGTTTATAAACATGTTTCATTTTTCTTTCTGTTTAGTTGACTAAAC